CAGAAAGTCCTCCGATGGCCGGCAGAGTGGACACCTGTTCTACCCAGGAAATCCGCTTCGCTCATAGAACAGATTCTGGTAACAGAGTCTGAAGTTACTTTTTCAGAGAGGCCATCGTTGGCCCTGATTTTCTTCTGGTTGCATGATAATGAATTGCCAAAGGGCAAGAGACCTGGCTCGTGCAGTCCCCTGCTGTCCCTGAATTAGCAGATGTCTCCCTCCATCCCTGGCTTACATCTGCTGACACCGTGGCGGAGGGTGGGGAATGACACACTGCACTCGAGCAGATGTGAGCAATGCTGCTGCCTCCAACTTGATGGGTCCGGGCTTGGGGGAAGGTGGTCGGAGCGCAGTGTGAACAGTGTCTCACACCTGGCCAAAGGCAGATTGGGCAGTTTGTTAAAATGAAACCCTCCTTCGGAGTATAGACCATCCATCTGCACCTGCTTCCTCGCCACCCCCCTCCCTGCCCCCCGACAGTCACTTTTCTCCTGCAGTGCTCTGTGATTTCTGTTGCATTTGTCACCTGTTGTGTGACATCACCCTAGAGCTATGGACCCCTCAGCAGTGATGATTTAGTGTTTCTCCTGATTCTCGGCGTGGGGTGGGGGTGGGGTGGGGTCCTGCAGGTCTCCTCTGGGCTCATTCACGTGCCGTGGTCAGCTGGAGAAGTGCCGGCCGCGGTTGGCCTGGGTGTGTGGCCAGTGACTTGGTTCTTCTCCATGTGATGTCTTCGGCCGGCTGGCCCAGGCCCGTTTCTGGGCCCGCGGAGGCATTGCAGGAGGGCCATGCAAATGCTGTGGGGCCCCTTAGGGTTTAGCCTTGGAACTGGCCCGGCAATACAGGAAATGCTCAAGGCCAGTCCCGGTTTGAGCCATCTCTTGGTGGGAGTAAGGGGTGCAGTGACCTTGGGTGTGGACATAGGGGGATGGAGTTATTATAATAATCTACCTGCTTGCCTTCTGTCCCTAAGGATTCATGTCCCTCACGCCTGCAGGACGCACTCCTTTCCTGTTTTCACTCTTCCTTTTTTCTTTTTTTTAAACGTTTATTTTTGAGCGAGAGAGCAAGAAAGAGAGCGGGTGAGAGAGCACGCACAAGCAGGGGAGGGGCAGAGAGTCAGGGAGACACAGAATCCGAACACAAGCTGTGAGGTCATGACCCGAGCTGAAGTTGGACACTTAACCGACTGAGCCACCCAGATGCCCCTAGTCTGGCTCTTCTTGATTCAGAGAGCTGTGAATTGAAAAGACACCTCCCCGAAACAGACAGACAAGCATGCAAGGTGGGAACTAGGTAACTGCAGGGGGTGGTCCTGTTCAAACGGGGCGGAGGGGGAGTAGTGAGCGAACAGCAGTAAACAGCCCTCAGCAGCTCTGGGGTCTAGCCCAGCACCTGCCGTCCGGGCATCAGTTGTGGGTCGGTTGTTGGTGGTGAGTAAGCAGCCCACCAAAGCCGGGTGATTTGAAACAGATTTATTGTGTCTCGTGATTCTGTGGGTTGACTGGGCAGTGGCCGGCCTCTGCTGGGGCGAGCAGGTGGCCGGGGCCAAGGCTGGAGGCTGGACGGTGATCTGAGCTGGGCTGCGTGCAGAGGCTGAAGCAGGTCCCTCCCACACGCTTCCGTTCCCAGCCTTGCCGGCCCTTTTGGGGCCTTGGTGTAGAAATGGCCACGATCTGTCGCTGGAACACGCGCCTGGACCCGCCCGGGTGCCGGGGACGGGGGTGTGGGCCCTCTCCTGCTGGGAGCAGTGCCAGTCACGGCGCCCGGGGGCGTGGATGCACAGACGTGTGAGGAGCTGTTTGGTTATTTGGTAGTAGGCTCTCACGCTCTCGTCTCCAGCATTGTAGGAGTTCGGGTACGTTTTTGTTGGCTTCATTTTCTATTAATTCTCGAAAAGGAAATGTCACTGTTTTTCCTTAGTCTGGGGGTGGGAGAGTTAGCCAAGGGTGTCAGGTTAGTTAGCCCCGCGGCACGTCAGCGCGTCAGGGCCTCTCTGCTGCTCTCCCCGGATGTCCTGAACACGGTGGGTCTCAAAGTGTGGCCCCCGGACCCACAGCATCCGTATCACCTGGACACTCTGATTCTTGGGCCCCATACCGGATTTGCTGAACCCGAATTCTGGGGTGGGGCCAGGCAGTCTGTGCTCCAGCAGGCCCCCCACGTGCCCCTAAGACTTGGGAATCACTGCTCCTGCAAATTCTTTAAAAAAAATTTTTTTTAATGTTAATTTTTTAGAGAGAGAGAGTGTGTCAGCGGGGGAGGGGCAGAAAGAGAGGGAGACACAGAATCCAAAGCAGGCTGTAAGCTCTGAGCTGTGAGCACAGAGCCCAGCGCGAGGCTCAAACTCCCCAACTGTGAGATCCTGATCTGAGCTAAAGTCCTCTACTTACCTGAGCCTTCCAGGCGCCCCTATTCCTGCAGATTCTTACTGCTGCCTCCTCACGCTTGCAAGCCAGAGATGTGCCCTCCCCGCACTTTGCTGGACTCTCTGTTCCTCCGAATTAGGGTAGTCTTTGTAGTGTCTACCCCCCTGGATTGTGTTTGTGTCAGTTTAAGGCTGGGGCTTTCTTACTGCTCAGGGGACGTTTATTGGCCAGCAGTCATCGTGCCCAGGCACGTGGGTACAGAAGTAAGACGTGGCCCCTGAGTCCGCTCAGTGTCTGGTCTGCTGAAGGAGCCGGTGCTCTGGAGGACGGCCACTTCAGCAGGGCATGACACATTCGGTTCATGTATGTTGCACTTGAGATGTCCAGGTAGAGATACATATCTGGCAAGTGATTGATCCGAGGAATTAAAATTCAAAAGGCAAGGCTGGCGCTAGCAATTTGAAAGTTACCACCATACACGTAGTTTAAAAGCAGGTTTTCCTCAAAGGCGGCTAGTCCTCGGAATCACTTAGGGTCTTCTAAAAATACGGATTGTGCTCTCCTGCCCCCACAGATGACTGAGGATGTTTCGGGATCTCCCAAGCGTCCCGGGTGACTCTGACCAGGCGGGTTTGAGGAACCTGGTCCCAAACCAGGAAACTGTACGGGGAGAATGAGCAGAGAAGGGCGAGGAGGCCAGCGAGGAGCTGTGGGGAGAACACCGGTGATTGGGCCGCGCGGGTCACGTCTGGGAAGGCTCCTCTGGGACCAGGGCCTGGGGAGGAGGCCAGTGGAGGGCAGGGTTTAGGTGCCAGGGGACTGGAAAGTCACCAGGGGGAGGGCTTCGTGGAGGAGGATCAGATCGCGCACTGCGGCGCCGGAGCCCGAGCCGGAGCCAGACTGCTGCGGTGACCTGTGAGGGCGGGGCGCCTGACCGGCCCGGGGACTTGCCGGGAACTCTCAAGGGGGGAGAGAGTGGAGGAGGAAGGTGACCGGGTAGCCCGGGAAGCCAGGTGTTTTGGTTTTGTTTTTGTTTTAAATGGGAGAAACCGGAGTGGTTGGCCAAGGACGAAGGGTCTGTAGAGAGAGCTGAATGGAAGAGGGAGCGGCGAAGGGGGTACTACTGATGAAGCCACATCCTGGGGGACAGAAGGATGGACTCAAAAGCTCAGCGTTCGGGATTGGCCTTGAGGAAGAGGAGGGCCACCCCCTCTCATCCTGGAGGGAAGCAGGTAGGGGAAGGAAGGGGCTTGCAGACGGTTGGGAGGGCGTCGCTAGGGCTGGTGGGTTTTGTGAGCTTTTACAGCATTTGGTGTGCAGTCTCAGGAACGGGGTCTCTGGTGTCCCAAGACCCCCCATGACGGTTGGTTTGCCCATGCATTACTGGGGTACGTGATTTCCGCGGGGCCCATAGCGGCCCCCACATGGGGGGCTGGGCTTCACCACTTCCTGGTGACGCTCTGCTCGGGACTCTGTGTGTTTCACCTTGAGGGCAGGTTAGCGGTGAGCGCCCGGTGAGCCCACGGAGCTCGTCTGACACCGGAACGGCTGTGATTCTGGTCTCTCCCCTCCTTACTCCCCCCTGCCATACCTCCTCCCCTTGTGCCCGTTACTTGCCCTCCTTTTCAGCCCTCCTCCTTTCCCATCCTTACTCCCTTTTCCATATTTCAGTTTCGTACACAGACTGGGAGGCTTTGAGGGCCTGGCGTCGTCCTGGTCACATCCAGTGTTTCTGAGGGGAGGGGTGTGTGGTGGCGGTGCCCCCGTCCTCTCCCCCCGTGTGGGGTTTCAGGTGGTGCCAGTAGGCAGTTCCTTGTGCCGAGATGTGTGGCTCCCCAGGTCTCCTTGCCGAGTGTCAGCCTCGCCCCTCAGTTTGTGACAAACACACGCCCTCCTCCCATTTCCAGATGCCCTCTGGGGATGGCAGGGTGTTGCCCTTTGAGAACTGCTGCTCCCACCTCTGTGGTCAGGAAGCCATTAGGATGGGGGTCCGAGTCCCTGCATCTGGGCCCCTTGGAAACGAACGCTGTGTTCATGTAATCGTGTTGGTGGTTAAGAGCGTTTGTAGCGATTTCAGGGAGGTGATGTTAGCAAGACACAAGAAAACAGGTTCTTATTGTTTTCTGGGTTCTGGTTAAAATATTGAGGCTGTAAGTGGAGATGCATAGGACTATTTTTGTTGGACTTTAAAACATGGCCTCTTAGGAAACAATTAAGTACTACTTAGCCTGTGCTCAGTATATACTAACCTGCACTTAGAAATTTTGAGCGGGGGAAAGGAAGGGAGAAAAGTGGAATACTTGCTTACACAGGAGTGTTTTTCAATAAATCCGTATATTATAACATGTTCAAATAAATGTTGGGTTTTTATTTAATCATGCAAATACTGGGCCCTTTCCCAGTTTTTATAATCTGGTTATTCTTATATGCGCACTTGCCGTGTTTCATAGAGGTGAAGCTTAGAAACCTGTGTGTCCTGAATGTGAAGAACTGTGGTCACAGCCAGCGTGACCCTGAAGAAAATGGATCAGTCCTTGGAAGACTGAGTTCTGTATGTTATGAGTGAAAGGAAAAATCAGTCTTCATACCGTGAGTTATTGACGTTTCCCTTCTTGTCCTTCTCTCCTACAGAACCTGAAAGCGGATCCAGAAGAGCTTTTTACAAAACTGGAGAAAATTGGAAAGGGCTCTTTCGGTGAGGTGTTCAAAGGCATTGACCTTCGGACTCAGAAAGTGGTTGCCATAAAAATCATTGATCTGGAAGAAGCTGAAGATGAGATAGAGGACATTCAACAAGAAATCACAGTGCTGAGTCAGTGTGACAGCCCATATGTAACCAAATATTACGGATCCTACCTGAAGGTAAGGCCTGAAAATAGGAACGCGATTTTCTGTGACGCAGCCCTTGACTGAACTGGAGCGGTGTACGCGAAGGATGTCCATAGCACAGCAGGCTTTCAGAGGAAGGAGAAATGTTCTGACCTTAGCAGTGAAAAGACCTTGGCTTTGGTAGTTTGATCATCTTAAATGTCACCTATAGAAATATATTCTGGTTAAAGTGTTTTGTTGAAATTCCCTTTCAAACAAGAAAGTGTATTTCTGAGCAGGATTTGGCCATCAGAGGCACATTTATTAGGAAGGTGTTATGACAACCGCAAATTTACCTAATCTTGGCCTGGTTTATTGTGAAAACTCCTGCCAACCTAAGAATATTAGCCTTTTGATAGTCTCACTTACCAATTATAATTTAATGCTGTTTTTAAAAAACTGCTGGAACTGATAAGGTTTTGTGAGTCCCTTTATCTGTATTTGACTTTGAAGAATTCTAGGGAAGTAAATAATTACTTATAGGAGTTGTGATAAAACACTACAAATTGTCCTTGGTTTCACCTAGTTCTGTAAGTAGGAAAGGAGCATTAAAGGCGGTTTTCTAGTTCGCACGGAACCGTTGTAGACATCGTGGGGCGCTCGTGTTTCCCACTGAGAAAGTGTAAGACTGTCGCTTGTGTTTCAGGTTCCTTGACCAGTGCCTGTTTTACTGACCTTAGCGATGTAGTAGCTTCCCAGATGGAGTTTTGGAAATCTGTAAGACTTGGTGAACAGCGATTCTAAAATAACTCTTGGGGAAACTAATGCTTCATAGGTAGAAAGAGCTACTTCCTGAGGTAGCGGTGAGCCCCGACCGTGTGTGGTTGTGCTTCCTCCTGACCTGGGTGTGTCCTCTAAAATCTCCATGGGCGAGCCTGCACCCTACTGTGTTGTCCGAAGGGATAGTACATGCTTTGATTTTGTGGAAATGTGATAATGAGGTATGAGTGGAAGGAGGCCATCTTGAGAACCATCGATTCACTTAAAATGAATATTTAACGAAATAAATAATGGAGTGGTGATCCAGCCTTCTTATTTTGGCAATATATCGTTGGTCAGATGGCAAAGGATGGCCCAGAGGTTGGTCATAGGTCAATGCAGCAGTTTGAATGGAAAGATTGTTTTGGAATCCTATGCCTTGGACTTGTATCTTGTCTTTGTGTATGGCCTTGAGCAAGTTTGTTTGTTTTTTTAAACATTCTCTGCTTCCTCGTTTGTAAAATGGAAAATTATGATATATATAGCTCATCGTTGCAAAGAGTAAATGGTATTAAGTCCATGTAAAAATAACCTGGCATGTTGTAGGTACTTAATGAGTGTTCTTTTCCTTCCTTAATGTATTGAGTTTATTCATACCTCATTTCTGAAGTAATCTTGCAGTGAAGGACATAGTCACTGAGGTCAAAGCAAGGAGGAAGAAGGACCCCAGTGATGACAGTGAACACTGTGTGGGGTGTGCATCCATTTTGGGTCTTGACAGGGCAGGAAGAGAAGCTCTCTGTGTTTTGATTCTCATCCAGGAGAACACATGTGACTTCCAAACGGAAAAGCAAAGGTTTTCTTGATCTTAATTTCTATTGAGAAAAACCAAACAGCTAAAGAAACTCAACTTGAACTCTGCTATATCACATACTATCCTTCGTGAAATAACTTCAACAGTAGTTTTATAGTAAATTCAGAGTTGGGTTCATGTGGCATGCTGGTGTTGTATTTTAACATGAATTATGGTACCCTTGGAAGAGGAAGGGTTGAAGATTCTCACAAATTATTAGTGATTTATGCCAGCTGATAGTTAACTACGGAAATAAAGGATCAGTGGTTCAAAAGTATCTTTTCAACCTCAGTTCTCCAGCAAAATCTTTACTGGAATAGATTGCTTTATTGTGGCCAAACACGGTGTTCACTGTACGTATTTAGAGATTCCATCCAGTATGTCCTGTTCTTGCCTGAGTCACTAATTCTAGAACGTCCATTCCAAGTCAACCTAACCTTGATCTAGAGTTGCCCAGTAAATTTATTTGGTTAGCGTAATGTCAGCTGCTAGAAGAACCCTCCCAAATGTCTAATAGCTCACATATGATAGAAATTTATTTCTTGTTCCCTGGTAGTCCTGACTGATGAGTGGTTTTCCTCCAGTGCTGGAGGAATCGAGTTTGTTCTGTCTTGTCTTCCTGCCATCTTCCATACATGGCTGTGCGCGTCTGCCTTAGGACATTGTGAGGCCCCAGTGGGGACTCCTGTGAGAAGTGTCCCTGTGCTGAGGCCTGGAGAGAAGAGCACATTCTTTCTGCCCATGTCCCCCAGCCCAGAGCGCCACCACCCTGCCACACCTGACTCTGGAGAGGCTGTCAGACGGCGGCTCATCATGTGCGTCATCGAACAGGCGGTGGGCTTGGTGCTCAGTGAGCCGTTCCTTTCCAAAGTCACTCACGCTGTAAAGGAAGTGGAGTAACTCATGGAGTGATTTTCTCTGCTGACTGTCTTCAGGCAGGATGCAAAGTTTTGATCACTTTGTCTAGAGTGTCTTCAGTTTTACTAGGTAGATTGTCTTTTAGAGACTATAACTGCCTCAAGAATGCCAAAAATATCACCATTGTAAAACCTTGACTTCTTTTTTTTTTTTTTTTTTTTTTTAAATATTTTTATTTATTACTAGGAGAGAGAGAGAGAGACAGCGTGAGCAGGGGAGGGTCAGAGAGAGAGGGAGATACAGACTCTGAAACAGGCCCCAGGCTCTGAGCTGGCAGTCAGCACAGAGCCCGACGCGGGGCTCGAACCCACAAACTGCGAGATCATGACCTAAGCGAAAGTCGGACGCTTAACCGACTAAGCCACCCAGGCGCCCCGTAAAACCTTGACTTCTTAAACCATGCAAAAGATGGATGATTCTGTCTAATTAAAAACATAAGGGACTTCTCTAGTTCCAAACAATAGTAGCTGATGTAAGTCAGGCAGGACACAAGTCCAGACCTGTGACTGTCCGCTGGTTCTCATATAGAGTCTTATGAAGTTCTCTGGCCCAGAGGAAGACCCTCAGTGACAAGCCAGAGGCCCTTCTGTCATCTCAGTAGGCTCATGAAGTTTAAGTTTGTGTAGTCCTAACTGTCCAGTCAGATACAACTTAAATTGGCACAAAAGATGAATGAGTCAGTGGGTCATTGATAGTAAGTTGCAAATTCCTGTGCTCCCTGGTTTTTGTTGCCCTTTTAAAAGCTCCGCATAGGGGTACCTGGGTGGCTCAGGCTCAGTCAGTTGAGTCTCTGTCTGACTTTGGTTCAGGTCATGATCTTGCGGTTCATGGGTTTGAGTCCTGCGTCTGGCTCTGTGCTGACAGCCCAGAGCCCGGAGCCTGCTTTGGATTCTGTGTCTCCCTCTCTCTCTGCCTCTCCCCTGCTCATGCTCTGTCTCTGTCTCTCAAAAATGAATAAATGTTAAAAAATTCTTTTTAATTTATAAATTTTTTTAATTTATAAAAAAAATAAAAGCTCCCCATAGCATTCAGAGGTAATACTTTTAGTTCTTTAAGTTGTGATGGGAGAGAGGGCCTTCAGTTTCACCTGGTGTTAAGGACTTTCACAAACCAAGATGGGGCAAAGAAGAAATGAGCAGAAACTGGTATCTTCCTACTGGGTTAGCATTCAGAGGCTGCCTAACTGTGTGTTGGTCTCAGTCATCCGGTCCGAAAAAAGAGATGAAGAACGGTAGCTAAGTAGTGGTCTGAATATGCTGGATGTTACCAAAGATGAGGTGAGTGGAGTGGATTTCCACTTTGTGGCTGGGATCAAATCACAGAGCTGCAGTGTGGCAAACTTTCCCCCCCAAAGATTAAAAACAAAAACAACGTCAGATGAAGGAGGAGAGGGAATAATTTCAGCAGGGAGAACTTGAGTTTCCTTTGATAAATCTGATGACTGGATAGGTCCTTAAAGATTATTACTGCACACCAGAGAAGATCTTCCTTTGTTGTGGTTTAGGGGTTTAATGTTTGGGAGATTAAACCAGTGAGGACATTTAATTAAGTAGAAGCCTCTGCATCCCAGCCATAAGCCACTGGAATCTTAGGTCACAAAAATACCATCCTCAGGGTCGTAATGAAACTGTGTTTGTGTGTGTGTGTGTGTGTGTGTGTGTGTGTGCACCCGCATGCATGCGTGCGCGTAAGGGTTGATTTGGTTGGTGTGCAGGAGGGGAGAGAGAATTGTTTGGTGTTTTAGTTAGGCAGGAAAGACACGGTAAGATCATAATAGAGGGCATGGTGAGCTCACATAGGATTTTAAGTCTCTTTTCTTCTGCAGCGGTCACAAGTTCTGTTCCTTCTCTTTAGCTGTACACCTCTGTCAGGCGTTGTTTTGTTTTGCGGAGATAGGCAGATTATTAGAATCTCCACTTTGCGATTCACCTAGAGTCAAAGCCAGGATTTTAGTCTTGGATCCTAGCATAGATATTCAACTGTCTGGGTTTTCACCAGGCTCCTGACTTCCTCAAGGATAAAAGGTAGAAACCTAACAGTTACCTTGCAGGATTACTGATCAAGATTGAGAACATAGAGATAAAGTGCCTGGCATGTAGGAGGTTTTTCCTCAAGTGATAACTTAATTATTTTTTATTTAAAAAAATTTTTGTTAATGTTTATTCATTTTTGAGGGAGGGAGACCTAGAATCTGAAGCAGGCTCTAGGCTCTGAGCTGTCAGCACAGAGCCCAATGATGTGGGGCTCGAACTCATGAACCATGAGATCATGACCTGAGCTGAAGTTGATGCTTAACCAACTGAGCCATTCAGGTGCCCCTTAAATTATTTTTTTAATAAGAGATAAGTTATCTGTGCCAAATGCTTCAAAATTCATAAGTTTTAAAAACAGATTGTTAATATGCTAAAAATTAGGTTTGTCATTTTCTTTTATAATAAATTACTTTGTACTCTCAAACATCAAGCCAGCGTAACCAGAGCAAATCAAGTGCAAGACAAAAAAAATCCAGAAAACATAAAAGCCC